AACAACTCTCTTACTCATGACTTTTTCATAAACTGAAAAGATAAAAAGTTGGCGAGTCAAATAGTGATAAAAATGTGGTGCAAAAATTGTTTTTTTTCGAAATTAGTGAATTACGAGGAATATTTTAGTTTCAGTGATAGCGAATATCACGTAAACTAAAATATAACCTATAAACTAATATGACCATTTCTACTACAAATTTTGTCAGCTTTAATTTCACATATCATACTATTGTAGATATAATGCACAGTAAAGTAAAGTAAACTTTTTAACTCGTAAATTCAATTTTTCGACTTGAAATCTGCGAGTATGGGGTTACTGACTTTTATTTCAGGTCTTAAGACTGTAAATAATATAAATTGAAAGTGTTGTTAGCTTTATATATCTATAACCTCACTCTCTATATATGCGTGCAACCTATGTAAGGTCTCTTCTATCTTCACATGGCTGCCATTTTGTATTCTATCGGCTTGATATCTTCTCCAGGACGACCAGGTGCTTGCCAGCCAATGAATTGCTACGACCGTTGTCACATGGTTTAAATAAAAATATAATTTAAATGATATAAAGGCATCTATCGTTCACCAATATTAAACATACAGTTAAAAATCAGAAGGCAACTCAACCGTACCTGAACTATCTGTAAAATCAAAGTTTTCAACAATACTACTAATCAACAATTGGAAATCTTTAAACTAAATTTCTGGTTGCTGCAGAGTTCAAAACTGAATATAAAAAAAAAAAAAAACTCCCATAAACGACCCCCATTGACATCATACATAGCCTATATCAGCACGTATCACTTTCTGAGACTTTTGCCATCTCGACCGAGGTTATAATTTTTCAATTTTACGTAAAAAACCATTTATTAATATAAGACATTTACTAAGTTGGAATAGCGATGTGGGTTTTATAGTTTATAACAATATTGAAGGACTTATAATAATCAAGGTTGCAGCTTACATTAAAATTTCTTCAAATTAGAATATCGTATATAACGGTTATAACGATGTATCAGCTTTAACGGCGAAAACACCATCTTCGATGATCAAGATGGCTTTTATAACGTGATTTTGAATGGATATATCGATTGGATTTACTGACTCGATTTCTTAGAGTTTTTAGAAAAAAAATGATCGAATATAGCGACAGTTGAACTCCTAAAAACCTTCGTGTTTATATCTCACTTATCGAGGAAATATTTTATTTCATTCGTTCTCTATGTAAGAATTACATTTATAGGGCTAATTTCATTCACACTCTAGTGTTAAATTCATATTTCTGTTTAGTAATTTAATAAGAATAACGAAGAACAAAAAGTTCCAGATATAAGAAAAATTCTATATATATTGCCGACTGGAGACTGAAGAGTCTAATAATATCTTGGCTCAAGAATTCAACATAAATCTTACAATTCGAAAAAATTTCGAATCTAATCGAGGACATGCTGAATCAGTTATATCCAAAAAACGACTACCTACCTACTCACGACAAAATCGGTTCTTCTCAATATTCCGCTATTAGACAAGGAGCTACTGACAATTTTATTTAAAGGAAGGAATTATAGCTAGTAACCATTTTAAATTCTTGATAAACCTCATCTTAATACACAACTTCGGTCAGTCAGTTGAAAGCCGTTGCTTTCTGTACGAAAATATAAATTAACAAAGCGAAATTTGATGGTTCATTTAACAGAAGAACTGACGGCTGAAATTTTGATATGACATAAAGAATATCTTTCTACGAGATAATTCACCTTGAATGACGACGTCAAAGTCATCACATTAGAGCATTCGGATGGTAGTTGGTTGAAGAAAAAATTCAAATAGTTTGTTCCTCTTCGGTTTTTTATGTTTTTTTGGGATACTGATCTGAATGTGACATTGTCGAACGAAATGTTCCACTGCGTATTAAGATATACGCAAAAACGCCAAAATTTCCCAACTTTTTTTAGTTTTTTGGATATGACTCCAAAACTGTGCATTTTATCAAAATTATTATTATACATAACGTTAAAGAAGATAAAATTTACTATCAATTTTATGCATCGCTTTTTGATGTAGGGTTAACAGGTTAGGAATAAGAGAATATTGACAGTTTGCATTTTTCACAAGAAAAATCTATTTTTGTTGGTTTTCCCCCAAAACTCATAATATATGCATGTGCCGAAGAAATTCAATATAATCAATTTGAAAGAGCATTAAGTTTTGTATGTACCTCATACAGACACGTTAATATGTAAGAAGATTAAACGGCTGTTAAAACCCAGAGAATTGAAGCCGAATTTCCTTGTAGTATCAGCTGCTCACAAACTAAGCGATTTTTATCTATTCAATGCTTTATTTTCGGCTAATTTAACTATTTTATAACAGAACTAGAATGTATAAACATATTACATAGCTTTTATATATTCTGTTGATATGCATAACAATCATCACAAAATTAATGACCAAAATGCTTTTTAAAGTCCGAGCAATCCAATACATTTTGCTTATTCGCATAATACGACTCTACATAAGCATGAATTATGTGAAGCTGCCAATGTTTTCCTTCAGTTAACCAATGAAATAGTATTGTTATATTTTTCTTTTTTAAAAATCACTGTTTTAACTCCATTTTGCTTACATTTTATTCATTATCCTTGTTTAATTCCAATATAAGCCATTATATAGATTATATATAGGCCTTTAGTGAGAGTGACAAGTGGATAGATATAGGTTATATAACGATATAAATATGAAGATGGTCCGGTCGTCTATAACAATTATACATTATAACAATGAAATTTACCAGGTCTCTTAAGGTCTTTATATTAATCCACTGTATATTAATTCAAATTTAAAAAATTTCCTGACTTCAACAATTTTTCCCTGTCTTTTCTCGGTTTTGAAAATTCCCTGACTTTTCCAGGTTTTCCAGGTCGGTCGCCGCCCTGTTCATTGTCTTTCACTGATTCAAGAATGCGTTTCAGGATCTTCCTCTTGAAGCGATCAATACTTTGTGCAACTGACTTGTTGAGTGTCAATGTTATTGACCTTATAAGACTTTTGTCTTATTTTCGTAGTGGTCAAACGACTATCAATGGATCTTGGCTGAATATGGTATGTCAGTACCCTTAGACTAGGAAAACCCAAGAAATAGCCCTAGTCCTCAAGAAGATGTGATAGCAAGTCCTACTCCCACTTCCTCATAGCGACTGCTAGGCAATGCACACCACCACACCACAGTGGACATTGACAAACGGGAGAAGGCAGAGACGAGCTCCTATCACCTTAAAATTGGATCATTGAACTAGGGGAGGAAACCCCAGCAGAAAACCCTGGTCCCTCCAGGTTGGGGGTTGGGCACAGGGCTAACTACTCTGTACCGTAAAAACTCTACATGTTTTCAAGAAACCACAGAAAGAAATGGATTACATGGGAAACAACATAGTTGCGGACAAGGACAAATAAACTTAGCAACCTGGAACGTCAGGAGCTTGTTCTAACCTGGCACTGAAATAGATCTAGAAAGAGAAAGAGAAAAAAATTTGCTGTAGTATGTGCATCACACAACTTTGACATATCTACTTTAGATTAGATAGGTATTTTCATATATAGGGACGTCAAAGTGAAAACTACGGTATAACTTCATTTAAAAACAATTAATTTTTTAATTAACACCAAGCATACGATAGCCTTAACAGGAATGAGCTGCTTAAAGCCATAAAAGCACTTGGGAGTTCTAGAAGAGGTAGTAGGCTTGAATGCGATTACTCTTGAAAACACCAGATACAAGGTGAAGAAACAGAACGAATAGTATAAACTTTTTTTTTTTTTTTATTATTTAATTTTTTTTTTTATTATTTGGGTTTTATACAACTCAAGGAGTCATATCCCCAATACCCAAAAGCCACTGCTCCCTGTCCATCCAATCTCCCCCACGAAGCCCTCTGGCTGCCATGCAACCCATGCAACAGTAGTATAAACTTACAAACAAAAAAGTAGAGTATATACACAGAAATAAATAACAGAAAAAAAAAGAAAGGTATATGTTTGTTATAACACTTAAATTTATATCATTTGAATACATCAAGATCTGCTTTATTTATGATGATTAATGGCTATTAATCATATTCATGTAGTAAACAAACACATCCACGAACAAACTAAACATATCTAACTTGAAGTATGGCCCACTTCTGTCTAGCCAGCCAATATAGACGTATGTTTCCAGGGCCATATTTTGAGCAACGTAAATCCTTATAATTCAACCTTCTAAGATATCTAGTGATGAAGTCTCTTCTTATCTTTCAAATACAAATTATCTCAGCGCCAACGGTCTGACTGAAGCGCTCTATGATTAGTGGTGGATGAGGGTCTTCGCTTTAGATTTTCTTCGGTATTTGTGTTTTTTCAAATAATTATTTTCAGATAATAATGTCTATATAATTTCATCTTGCCTTTTGACTCTTTCCTCTATAGTTTTCAAAAATTAAATCTCCATGTTTATTTAAGGTATTTTTAGTATATTTCGTGTCATCGGTGATTTTTGCAATTGCAACAAGTACTGCTACAATATTTTCTTCCAAATTTTGACTTAATGTAACGATACATAGCCTTGTTACAATCAACTTCGCCAAACTCTCACAGGAACTACAGTTCCATCTGTTCTTTTCCATATGTGTGACTTCATTATCGTTCATTTTAATGTATCTTTTATAATGCAAATATTTGCAAGCGTAAAACGCAATTGCAGTCTTATCGTCTCTGGCAATGGCCAGTTGAAAACAAGGACACAGCCCCACTAATATTTAAATATTTTATTAGAGAACTCCAGTGACTAGAATCTAGTGAGGACAATGAATAAAAAATGTTCAAAAATAAAAATTTACCTCGAAAATGAGATATGTATCTGATCATAAACACATGAAAAAGCCTCTAATTTCTCAAATTAGTTTTTTATAAGTAGCAATTCAATTTTTTTCAAAAACTATAAAATAGAGAACCTAAAGTCCATACCTGCAAGTAAGGATTTCTTGTGTTGATGCTTCATTGGCTTTCTCAGTGTCTTTACATTTTCCTTTAACTTGATGGTTGTTTGTAACTACTTGAGAGAGAATCTAAAACCAAAGTTACATGTGTATATACATTTTATAAATATAAACAATTACAGTTGAATTATAACTTCTTCCATATCAATTGCAACCCAAACAGGTATGAATTAATTCATCAATATTATCTCTTACTTATTTAAAAATAATAATTTTACTAATAGTCTTATATTTTTAATTGATCAACTTTCAATCAATCAATTTTTAATTGATGAGTAGTAATTTCCTTGAATCCTTCCTGAAAAACAACACTTGTGACACAAAAAAAGAAAAAGAAAAAGGTCAACTGTAATATTATAAAATTCATATACATGATCCACCCAATGGTAAATTTTGATTCAGAATTCCGATAGTGAATTCAAAAACCCAAAGAACAATCCCTAATTCAACAAAATCTTAAGGATACCTATTAACTTTAGGGAGATGAGGGCGATATGGGGTTACCAGGAGAGGTTTTCATCAATAGTGATTCCTAGGTTTTTAACGGAGGAGCTGAATGTGATGGGATGACCGTTGATGACTAAAGGAAAGAGATGGATTTAAGAAGATAACTAGAACCTATAATAATGGCCTGAGTTTTCATTGCATTAAATTATTCAGACTTGCCCAGGCAATGATCCTATCTAGGTCTGCCTGAATAATGGCAAATGCAAATAGTAAATAGCTCAGAAGGGTGAAAGGATAAATAGATAGATTTGGGAGTCATCAGAGTATAAATGGTGTGAACGGTGGTAGATGGATTTGGGAAGATCATTTATATAGGAATTAAAAAGGAGAGGGGAAATGCTCGAACCCTGGGCCACTCCTGAGGACAGCGTAAGAATGGAAGATAGGTGTTGATTCGGAAAGCTGACTGCTTGAGTCCTGTTGGAGAGGAAAGAATGAAACCAAAGGATAGAGCTGTTGGAGAAGGATAACTTCGTGGGGTAACTTCGTCGCTGCGTGTATCATGTTATTATATGAAATCACCGCGTGTGGCATACCGTCGAGATTTCGTACCAATTTGAATAACCTAAAGGTGTTCCCCTAAAGAGTATTATGTAGTTATTCCACAGCACCTCTACTCTTAATATGATGGGGGGGGGGGTGTTAAACCACCATGTGATACCCAACATTTTACTCTCCTCCCGAATTAGTGAGTTAACAAATTCTCTTCCGCAATCTGACACATCGTCAGGTACATTTTACACCATTGTAATGGTCTCTCCCATACTGCCCTAAGTGTTTTCGCTTCGATGGGGTAGGCAAGCAGATTTATTTATTTTATTTAATAGCTAAGTAAGAGGTAAGAGTTCAGGAAAGTAAAACTGTGTATTATTGAATACTTTCAGTTTATGAAGTAAAATCAATCTGATATATCATTAAATAATTATGATTATACGTAGTGAGATTTTATCTTTTAAAGATGATTATTTCACTGGAATAAAAACAAATATTTAATAAGTTGATAAGCATATACTTATAAAATGTAAAAAAATATAAATCAATAAACTTAGGTTATTACAGAATTAGGTTCGAGTGCAGACAACACAGAAGAGACTTGACTGCAGCTGATTGTAGGCAGCGCTGATGATGTCAATTGCGATAGGAGTTGTGCAGTATATTCACTGCTATCACCTCCTAAGATAAACAATTAGTTAAATTAAATAAAAATAACTCTAATTATTCTTTAATAATATGAAATTTTATCAATTAATGATGTTTATTAGAAACAATTATGACAATATAAAAAAATTAATTTCTGATAAGATCAAAACTATAAAATATCAAAAAAATTGTTATCAGCTATAATGATTATTAAAATAGGTGGTGTGGGTAAAAAACTTATGAAATGTGTCATACAAACTTTAAATATGTTCAACTTATTAATGTTGATGAACCTATCAAACAATAAAATAAAGTTAATTAAAACTAAATATACAAGGAGCTCCGTAAAGAAAAGAAAATATTTAAGATGGTAGTACATTTCACTCAACAGCAACAAAAGAGTTGAAATGAATCAGGGTCAGATTCAGCACAGAAAAGCAGGACAATTCAAGTTTCGTAATTTGTAATAATTTAGTTTTTTATTTATGTACAAGTAATGTTTTAAGATGAATAGGAAGAAAAAAAAAATAAGTTAGGTAAATTCAAATTGCATAAAATAAAACAAGAGACAAAATTTCCTTAAAGAAAAAGTAGAATTTGTCTTTACTGAAACCACTTAAAGATGGCTTTCAAGGTACTAAATTACACCAAGTTCGTTTTTTCCTTAAATCATATATAATGAATGGAGATCGACCGATACCAATATTAATATCAGCATATCGGCCTTATGATCTTATTTTATCGAGATTGATATAATATTGCTTGAAATATCATTCTTATTGTAATTAACCATGTCAATCAATCGTCAAGGGATCGACATATACATAAATTTGAGCAGGTACCTTGTTTTATTGATATTGGTAGAGTTTCACTTGGAATATTATTTGTATTGATATTAAACATGTCAATCAATCACCAAGAGATCAACATCTTTGCATAGTTGTTTTTAAAAAGAAAATTAAATCTCTTAAACATACAGATATCCACCAATATATTTAACATACCTGAGGCATATGTCAATTGTATTGCTTCAACATCACAACTCTTATGCTTTCTAGCTTCATTATCACATAAGTCAATAATCAATGGCAACATTTTGTCTTCACCAAGTTTGAATTCTTTTTCTGGGCTATTAAGAAGTGCCTATGGACAATTTGCAAAATTAAAAATTACTTCAAATTGAATACTAACCTGATTTATAAATTGATACAAAAATATATACAAGAAAAAAAAAAGATATACTATATATGAATAGCTGATAAATAACCAACACAATATGCCCAAGTGTGAAAAACAAAACAAAAATTTTTATTTATTTTTTATCCTGTTGGCATTAAAGACCTTTTAGATCATTTACCGCCTTAATAAGCCAACTCCATCTCAGCCTATCTTAGGCTATTCCTTTCCATTTATCTACATGTAGCTCTATTGCATCTTTGTTGTTTCGATCTATCCTCTACTTTTTGGACTTCTGTGTAGTCTTTTGCCTACAATTGAGGAATTCATTACCGTGCAAGGGCTTTCAACTGGATTGCTCCCAGCTACATGCCTTACATGCAGGCCCATGTGAACCTCCGTGCATTAATATCATGAGATATTGATTGACCAGTTTCTGTAAGCAGTTCTTTATTGACCTCTCTCCTCCATGTGTTGGTACTTTGATCCCAGATTGCTCCAGTTATTGTGCAGAGGACTTTTCTTTCAAATCTTTCAATACTTTTTTCTAGAGTGCTGGTTAGTGTCCAGGTTTCACAGCCGTATGTTAGTAATGACTATCATAGCATTGTAGTATTGTCTTTGGAAAATCATGACTAAACCGGGACTTCCCGGTAAGTTGGTGAGATTGATAAGGGCATGTACAAATGACCCTAAATATCGAGTCCTAGTACAAGAAGTACCTGAAGCCTTCAAAGTTCGAATGGGCTTACAGCAGGGAGATGGACTATCACCGATGTGTTCAACTTAGCCCTGGTGAAGGTGTTAAGAACATCACACAAAAATGGAGGGGTCCACACCAGAATGCATCATAAAATCCTTGGATAAGCATGTAATACAGCTCTCCTTAGAAGTAATAAAGAGGACAATGAGAAACTCCCTAAGACTCTGATATGAGAAGCAGAGCAAATTGGCCTACAAGTAAATTAAGACAAAAAAATATGATAATAAGCCGAAAATTCCACCTGAACAACAGCATCTAAATAGAAGGGAAATTGTTCCCGAGAGTAGAAAAATTCAAATATCTAGGCTCTACAATAATCTCAGTGAATGACCAACGGTCAAAAATAGACCAGCGTATAACAAGTGCATTCACAAAGATGCGATTTCAAGCGTGCAACAAGGATTCATGACAGCTCTGCATCTACTGACTTGTTCCGGACTACAGGACATTAGAAACAAAGCCAGGGTAGAAGGTGAAATTTACTGGGCTGCTAGACGTCGCATGGCGGAAACAGCTAAAGACAATCAAGACATAGGATAAAAAAACCAAAAAAAAAAAAACAAGTGCAAACAGAGTTTCCTACTCCGTTTCAAAGATATTAAAATCCATAAAAATCTCAAATTATGGATATACAATTATTACTTATTATGGATAGTCATTTCCAACATATGACTGTGAGACCTGGAGACTAACCATTATCCTAGAAGAAACTATTGAAAGATTTGAGAGAAAAATTCTCCGCACAATAACCAGAGCGATTTGGGATCAGAGTACTAACACATGGAGAAGAAAGTCCAATAAAGAATTGCATACAGAAACAGGTCAATTAATATCCCATGATATGAGGGCATGGAGGTTAAGATGGATGGGGCATGTACTTCATAGTAATTGATCTGGAAGCTTCTACGTAACAATTAATGCCTCATAGAAGGCAAAAAAACAAAAAAATAAAATTACTATTATTAAGTATAGTTAAAAGTAAAGAATCAGCAAGAAAAAAACATTGTAAAAAGTATTTGTAGTTTATTAAAAAACATTTTTTTCTTGTCATATCTTTTGCGTTGGGTGCCATTTTTTTTATGTTTTAGTTAATAGATTCTACCAATTATTTTCAGATCATCAATAAAACACATTTTTACTGTATTTTATTGGTAACCTGTGGCCTAAAATCTACTAAATAAAAACAACAAAATTTTACTAGGTAAAAGTGTAACAATAGTAATATCAGTAAATTACTAGTATAAATTACTATAACAGCCATCCTTTTATTATTTCTATGTCCTTTAATATTTCATTTCTATTATAAACAACTATTGTCCGGGGTTCAATGTAGCAATATCTAATGTTAGAAGAATTCCAAATACCTCTAAATTATATAATTGGAATCAAATAATTACACAATTATTTTAGTCGGCTGCAACAGCTAAATGTTATACAGCTTCCAAAGTAATGAACATATATATAAATAAAAAAAGATACAACAGTCTCAGTTTTTATTAAATAATATGTTATTGTTGTGTTGATGTCTACATATGCTCAGATTTATCATTTCCTACATTTACTATAAAGAGTGCACCCACATATGTATGTTTCATTCTATATCATTGTCCTTTAAATGTTTAAAGTAAATCTTTTATAATTCTAAACAGCTTACATCTTCAATTTTAGATGGTGTTGAAATCAGTCTTTTCAATATTACAACAGATTTATAGTCAATAAATTCATAATTACACATATGATATAGAAAACATATTACATTATTAAAAACTACTGAATTCATACTGATGACAACACATCTAAAACTAAAATTAACTGTACCAGTCTCATATTCAAAACATTTAAATAAGCCCCTACAGTATAAGTAACAATTGTTACAATTGTTACCTGTCGTAATATGCCTTCGTTTTCCTGCCTAATTATTGATGAATTATGTGCAAGTTCTATTGGAGAATTTGATAAAGACAGATCAGCTTCAAAGGGCAACTTGTCATTGTTTAATTTTTCTTTCTCTTCAGACATGCTTCATGATTTTGAGATATAATTAGAACATATAGATAGAATGAATAGAACAAAGCAAAATAACCAAACTTTTTGGGGAACTTCCTATCTAAAAGTAATGGTTACAGAATAGTGGAAACTTGAAAATGGATGACACTATATCAAAACTGATTTAAAAACTGTTTAGCTAAGAATGACGATAAATTTGGCAAAGAATATAAAAATATGTAATAAACCTAAATATAATCTGCGAAACTATACAGGAACTACTAATCAAAACAATAACCTCTCAATTTCTTATCTTCCAAATATAAGGTTATCCATAGAGATACGAATTGATGAATTCACATTAAAAAAAATTCCTATACATCGGAAGAGCCTGCGTGATGCTATTAAATGCTTTTTTTATGGAACTTTATAACAGATTATAAGTGGATACTTTTTTCCCAATAGGTATCATTTTAATAAGGAGGTCCATCTAAGGAAATATATGCATATATGCGTTATTGTTACAGAAAGGGGCAGTCATGAATTCAAGTTTTCAAATACATAAAAGTATTTAAATAAAAGAATGTAAAAAAAAAAAAAAAATGTTTTTTGAATACTGATTGAAATTCAATTGTCAACGCCATGGCAATATTGTATCTTACCTCAGCTTTTACATTTAGTAGTGGGTGTTTTTGTTATTTTTAAACAATTCATTGACAAGAGAGAACAGTTCTTTTGAGAACAGATTTAGTATTCGTTTTGGGTGACGTCGTTATTTAATAGTAGGTAAAAATAAAAGATCTGAAAAAGAACGAAAGGTGTTATGAATGAAGTTGGGCCTTGTTCGAGTTTGAAACAGGCAATTAATCAATTTATATTACATAAATGTTTATTTTAAAACTCAGTCATTATTTAGATGACGACCGCAGAGATTAAGAGTAATTCACAATTACTTCAGCCACACTTGATCATGAAACGCCGAAAACAATCTTTCTCTAATAAACCTATAAAATGCATTCGGCACACCATGGACAAGTGTGACCTACGTGATTGTGAATCACGGGTAATCTGTGCTGTCCTCATCTAAATAATTGAATACAATTATTATTAGTAAGTAATATTGAAATGATTATTTTCCAAGGCAAACGTTTAAATAACAAAGTTTAGGATTTTTCCTAAATATTTAAAATTAAGAAAATAATTTTCATACAGTAGGTCAAAAACTTATTCATACACTTAGTTTACTGTCCAAAAATATTTTTTATTGATTTTTTTAAATTTATATAAGGACAGATAGTGATAAGAAATAACATTTTTTCATTAATTTTACTCATTCGCTAAAATGAGAAATTAATATATTTTTTTAATAATTTATATTTAAATTAATCATGGCAAAAAAAATGTATTCATACAAGAAATTTTTAATTTGTTATCCGATCAATGTTCAGATCAATATTTATTATCATTAGTTCTAAAGTAAACAAAACCTTTAATCTCAAACTTAAGAAACATTTGGTTTATGATTTAGCTTGTTTAATTCAGTATTAAAAGATAAATTTACGGAAATGGGTAGCAGATCTAAAGAATTAAGTAAGTTGTCATCTTAAAGACAATATCGTTAAGCTCTTTCAACAAGAGTTGAGTTATCGATGTATCGGGAAAAATTGAAGATTATCACACGCGACCGTGAAATAAATAATTAAAAATTTTAAATTCGATGCCGTGGACAACAAAATACATATGGACTGAAGAGGTTCGCTCTCAGTGCGTGAATCACGTGAAATCGTGCAAAAGGCCGCAAAAAATCCACAAGTATCTGCTCGTGAGCTTGCAAAACACATCTTAACATCTTACGAAAAAAACTGTGACACCATTAACCATGCGGAATAGGCTACATGAAGCAGAATATAAGGGCATATCGGCAAGAAAGTAACCATTTATTAATAGAAAACACCGGTAAAGGATTGAAGTTTGCCTGGGAGCACGTAAATAAAGAAAGAAAGAAACAAATGTAACTTTTATTCTGCGCAATTAACTGAAGGTGATTAAGGAGAGCTTTTTGCTATTGGAAGGTATTAAGATGTAAATGAGCAATTCTTACTAGAAGTTTTGAAAGATTGGAGAGAATGGAAATGGGTCTGACAAATTTTGGAAGGAACTGGAACTTTGTAAGGAAAAATTGTAGATATGTAGCAGGACACGAAAGATGATAGGAAGACATAGTTTGATCAACTTCTGGATTTTAGGACACAGGAAAATAGGTCCTCTAGTGAAATTTTGTAAAATAAAAATTTTCAGGGTCAACGGAAGTTTCTGAAATACAATACGAGGAAGAAAATAGTAATGAGTCAGGATCGGCAAAGTGGGAATGAAGGTGACCCAAACAGGGTAGGAAGTACAAGTTTTTAACTTTACTACGAAGATATTTTTAAGGAGTTTCCATCTGGACTTAGGATCTGAGTCTTGTGATAAGGAAGTATGAAAGAATTGTGCCTGAATATCTATATATTCTATATCTATTCTATTCTATTCTTCTAGTCTATTCTATTATATATCTATTATATTATATTCTATATCTAAGGAAGATTGGGTAAGGTTTCGATGGGTCTTGAAAGATATGTAATTATCCGAACTACGTGTGCTTCTGAAACGAGACATTGCAGCGTGCAACGTGCCTTGATAGGATGGCAGTGTCGAATGAATGAACTTCATAACCTTCTACTAGTCTGCGAGACAAGAGATGAACCTTAAGATCTCGCTGGAAGATTTCCTCAAACAGATGGATAAACCTGCAAACTTTATGGGAAACTGAAATATCAATCAGATCACGAGCCCTCAGACTTGATATGTTTGATTACAAGCCAGCGAATGAGTACTCAGACCTTGGACAGACTGGTACACTAAACAAACTTACGCAGGCAGAATTCTGAACTTCCATTCCAAACATCCTTATCACCAAAAAAATAATGTTTCTAAAAATCTCATCCACCGATATCCAAAACAAATATGCACAAAAAAAGGGTCTCAAATTTAATACAAAAGGTCGGGTAATTCAAATTTATTTTTATAAATAAATAAATAAAATATCAAAAATAATACATATATATATTGTATAATATGCTCATATATATTGTTAATACTGTATATTTGTATATTAGGTTTAAAAAATTGTCTATAGTGATTAAATTGTCTTGAATTGTATTGTCTTGTGAGTATGATGTGTTTGAAGCAACCCAATATAATTGGGCAGCACCTTTTTATGAAACTAAAAAGATTCTCTCACTAGATATGTAGTGAATATAAAAAAATACAAATTTCCGCCCTTAGGTTCGCTGCAGTGCTCCAAAAAACATTTAATTTTTTTACTTTTTTGGGTTTACGCTGAATATTTCCTTTTCAGAGCTAAATAGATAAAAAAAATTATTATGTTTAATCTTAAACACCTTTAAATTATCTGACATTTATGTACGTAACATTTTTTTCTAAACCCAACAGGAGGTGAACTATCGAGCTTTCAAAATGGTTAGAGTTTTGAAAATTCTGTTTTTATTATGTAATTATCTGTTTTTATAGGGGACTTAGCTCAAATCATTGAATTAAATATTAAAGCACAGACAATTCACTACAGCTTTTATAGGAAACATATTTTTCTAAACTTAACAACTTACATATAAATCGCTAAAACGAAATTGATGTTTTGAAATTCGAAAAAAATCTTTATAATTTTATTTTTACTGTTTGCCACTTATTTTAATGAAATTGGTCATCAATAATTACAGCTTTTCTTGTTACCTTTAATGCCACATTTATGCTACATCATTTAGTAATCATAAATTGCACGGTTATTGTGCAATACAAGAATATAGGAAGTAAAAAGAAAACAAAAAGTTTTGGACAGTTTAATTATTCTATATCTGTTCGTTAATACAATCAAAACAATGTACTAAAAACGTCATTATATTATTATAACGTTACTATGTCATTTATGAGTACTGAATGACGTGGCTAAATATTACTGAATTAAGTACTAAATACATGATTTTTACAATAGAGTCCGTCTTAAATATCCTAGAATATAAGAAAATAGGATGTAAAAAGAAAAAAAAAAGTTTTGGGCAATTAAATAGTTGCATTAATATTTGTACTTTAAGGAAATCAAAATAGTTAGTAAAAACGTTATTATAGTACTGTAACTATGCCATTTGTGTGTGAGTACTGAATGGTGTCGCAGAGGACTCAAGGCGCCAATGCCAGTGTCGCATTTCCGTCGATTAAATGTATTTCCTAAGTAACTGCTTCAAATATTTTTAAATTAATCAGTTTTTTAGAAATAAAAATGTATTCTTCAAATGATTTACTTCGCTGCGTTTTTCGATATTGTTAGCCGTTTATTTACAAATGATGCTTGATTTTTAACTTTATTTCGAACATCCTGAAAAAAATTAACTTTACTGGTGTTTTTATTATCAAAGTCAATTATTTTTAAATCTTTTTTCATGTTTTATTATTCTCTTATTATCCAGCTTTAATAAAAGGCCAATTATTTCGAAATTAAGCCAAATGCTGAATCTCAGTGACCTAAAAACTAACTCAAGTCAGAGACGTCAATGCGCCATGTTTGGACGCCATTTTAGAACAGCGCGGCCACGTTTGTTTGTGGATACACTGGTTTTTTTTGTTTTGTTTTTTGTTATAAACAGTTACAAGGAATACTATTATATGAAATTTGTTGAAATGTGGAGGGAGAGTGCACGGTAGTGAGGTCTGGCCAACCGTTTAACAAATTTTTCAACATCCTCCCACTACCCGTCCGCCGTTCCAGTCAATGGCTCATTATCTTTAAGAAAAACTTCTGAATTCTCTGAACGAGGTTCATAATGGAATTAAGGAATTCTTCCGTTCAAAATTGAAAGAACAATATTGTGAAGAAATCGAAATGGGTAAATTTTGAAAGCTCGATAGTTCGCTTCCTGTTGGATTTAGAAAAAAATGTATGTACAAAAATATTGGATAATTTTAAGCTATCTAAGATTGAATATAATAATTTTTTTCTATGTCACTCTAAAACGGAGATATTTAGTGTAAACCATAAAAGATTCGAAATTTTAATGGTTTTTGGAGCACTGCAGCAAACCCACAGGGCTTTTGGGGGGGGGGGGATAACTTGGATTTTTTATATTCACTACATACCCAACAATATAAAAAAAAACTAATTACTCGACCGTTTGCAAGGTAACATATCTAATTTGACTGGGCTAGAAGAGCGAACCACAGAGAATGCGGGCGCGAACGCTAATTTTCATTACAATTGATGAAATTAGCCGTTCGCTAGCGAATAATTTGCATAGTGTGGACGGGTATTCGTGCGAATCGACGAATTTTACTTCTCACCTATGCAATTTGATAATCTTTATTCGCGAATGAATTCGTCTAGTGTAGGCACACCTTTACTTAACAGGCTAATCTTTGTTCTCGAACAAATTCGTCTAGTGTGGACGCACTTTTAGACACAGCACATATCGATAGATAGATAGATAGAAGCGTTTATTTGTTTATAAAGTACATAATATCATATATTTTTTTTACATATAATTAAACGATTTATCGACAATGAACTTATGTTCGTCTGTCGGGGTGTTCGCCTAGTTTATTCGTGGAGATATCTTATCTTTTAAGAATTCACAGTTTCAATATAACAAGATCCCAATTGCAATATTATCTACTTAATTTAAAAAAAATCTTAATTTTAACTAAAAATTCTTTCTAAATATAAAAATATAAATATACATACATAATGTACAAATATACATGAACATAAACTTAGATACCTTTTATTCTAAATTATATTCTCTCACTAATTCACATCTATAATTAGTGGATGTTCTTAAATACAAATAAAGATTTCTGTAGTTTGGGCCATTTAAAATTTTTATCGTTTCCATAAAATTTAGTTGATGCATACCTAAAAATGCTATTCTGAACTCTTTTAGTATTGGGCATACCGATATAAAATGAAAGTTATCTTCCGGTGCATTCATATTGCACAAAGAACAATTTCCCCTTTTATCCTGCCACGGCTGGTAATTTAGATTGAAGAGTTCCCCTCTCGCTTTAAAAATTAGCCGAATAAAATATAAATTGTAATCATTCTGCCGAAAATACCCACAATCATACTCTAATTTGGCATACATTTTATGATATTCTGCTGATCTTGCCCTCTTAATGTAATCATTCATTTTCTCTTGCTTTAGTTTTTCAAGTAAAATGTCTTTATGGATTTTCAACTTCTTCAGCAGATCATTTTTGGTGAAAGAAATGTCACATTTTGTTCCTATCCTTCTCAGTGCCCTCATCCATGTTATATTCTTTTCGATGACTAATTTAGCTATGACATACGGGAGTCGTTGGTGATCCGCACATATTGTCAGATATCTTTTAAATATTAAAAAAAAATAATATTAAGGTTACTGGACCTCCGCCTCTCCCCACCTCAGAAATTCAACAATCAAAAGCGAGAAAAAACAAGAAATAGTAAGGAAATTAACGCCATATTAATTGAAATCTGTCTTCTGGGCCATCGAAGCAGTATTGTTTTAAAGACCACTGAAATTTGAGAACAATGATAAAAATACTTTTTTCATAGTCTTGGACTATGTTGATCTTAATGAGGAAATATCAGAGATCTAATGTCAGCTAAAGATGGTGTAAAACATCTTCTATTGAAGCTTGGACCATATTACGTACTCGTTTTTTCTCTCAAATAATTATATAAATTGAATAGTCGGTGTCTGGAGGTTGTCTCAGTTCTTAATGGCGAACCTTTGGTGATTAATTTAAGACTGAATTTCCAACAAAAGTGTTAATTTGATGAATGGGCCAATTCAGAACGGAAAAAGAATTAAGAAATTTTTTTTTTTTTTTAAGGTGGTCACGGTTTTTATTGAATAAGAAGAAATTGTTCGAAAATTGTTTAAGATTATTACATTATAAGTACACCATCGTAAAATAGAAAAAAATTTCTTTCTGAGAATAGTGATTACATTTACTATGGTCAATGGTAAAAAGGCCTTTCAGGTAATAACGCAAAACCAACCATTATGCCGAATTATTTCACGAATCGGGATCAAAGAAATATGCTGCTCGGGTATGGGTACTGTAACTGCAGCAGTACAATGGTCGTATTAGACCTCCTGAAAGTCCCTTTTATCCCTTTTACAGAAAATATTAAAGCAATTAAAAATTTAAAAAATCATAAAGTAATTCAAATAAAAATGTTATCTTTGCAAATCATCGTCGAAACAAAACGCTTCTTAAATTTCCAAATATATTCGTGTCATTTCAAAATTTTGACATTTGTCAAAAAAACTAAAAATAGTAAATTTTTTTTTCTCGAAATCTATCATTTTAGGAGCATACTTACTATTTATTGTTTAGTAAAATATTAATTACCTAGGAAAAATTTAATAACTGTTTTCTCACTCCCTAGTACTGTCACAACCCAGATTTACCTACATATTAACATAGTAAGCTATATTGGGGGTCTGGAAAATAATGAAGGATTTTGGTTTAAACAAAAAACCGAAAGATTTACAACTGTTTTATTTAATCAAAATAGTCTACACTACTATCGATACATTTCTGCCACCGTGTTGGCAACTTTTTCATTCCCTCAAAATAGAATTTCCACTATTTAGAATTGATAAACTCCAAAAACACATTTTCTAATTCCCATTGTCCATTAAATTTTTTGTCGTGTAAGTAGTGTTCCAGGTGTCTGAAAAATGATAATCCCTAAGCGAGAGGTCCGGAGAGTAGAGTAGATGTGGCATAATTTCATATCCAAGCTCGAACAATTTTTGTGACGTCACAAGTGAGACATGTGGCTGGGCGTTATCATGCAACAAAATGAGCCCCTTCCGATTTACCAAAGATGGCTTCATAATTGCCTATTTCTGATGCATTGCATTAATTTGGTTACAATACGATTCTCCAGGATTTAAGAAGCTGTAGTGTATCAAACCAGAGGAAGTCCACCAAACAGTAACCATTATCTTTTTTTGATGAATAGGGGGCTTTGGAAAATGCTCTGCTGCTTCTCCTATATCGAGGCACTGTCCAAAACGTCTACTGTTATATTGAAGTATCCACTTTTCATCACAAGTAACAATTATGGTTAGAAAAGGGTCGTTTTTGTTTTAGCAAAAAAGTGTAGCACAAACTTCATAACGCTGTTGTTTTTTTTGGCGGACGTTTAATGTGTGTGGAACCCAACTTTCAAGCTTTTTTACTTTTCCAATCGTCTTGAGGTGGTCATCGACGGTCGATTTGCTAACGTTAAGTTCTCCTGCAAGTTCACGAACAGTTGTTCTGGGGTTTTCTTCCACCAAACCCCGCAGATCACCGTCATCAAGAGAGAAAGTCCTTCCACGACCTTCTTTGTCTTCAAGGCTGAAGTCTCCCCCAAATTTTTTGAACCACCGTTGAACAGTGCACTCATTAATGCTGCTCTCGCCCCAGACTTGATTGATGTTTCTGGCCGTCTGGTCCCCATTGCGGCCGAGTTTAAACTCGTAAAACAAAATTATAAGAAAATCACGCGTTGACATCTTAGTAAAGACTGAATTATTTCTAAGCAGCGAAATGCTACAGAGGTAAACAAACATTATCGTTTGGAAGAGGATTAATAAGTGTTGACATTCATACAAATGAATAATCCAGTAAACGTAAACAGTTTATTATATAGAGGGTTATTTTAAAGAAAACTCAAAATACTGAATTATTTTCCGGTACAACCCAATATTTAATGATGCGGCTTTAATGGTAGTGCTGCTGTGACAGGATATGAGTTTTTAAACCACTTTTATATTCAATTGCATTTTTATTATTTGAATATGCAAAGTTTATTAATCTCACTCACTCATAGTTCGTTATAGTTAAAAAATACACGTTTTGTTTTTTGTTCAAATTAATATTAACTGCTCTCCGTTCGATGTTGGTTGGTTATTTCATTACTCTTTGTTCATCACACTCTTAATCGTAATGGTTGAAGAAGGTTTCTGTGATGTAGTTGTTATCTTCTCTTATTATGGATGGAGAGTTTTTATTTAAATTTGTAGTGTGATTTTTAGTTTTGCCTCCATTATAAAAAAATCAAAATCAATAATATCTCACACACAAAAAAAAAAAAAAAAAAAAAAAAAAAAGAAATTGGTGGTAATAACTAAATAATGATGGATTATTTATTTTTAGTTGGTGCAATTCATTTATTTGCCTGTCCTTTCACAAAAGTTGAAGAAAGTTTTAATCTACAGGCCATGCATGATATGATTTTTCATAAGTGGAATTTAACTGAGGTATTTCAGGGACTTATATTAGTGTTTTCTTTTTAATTTATCAACTTAATTTTTATTATCTTAAATATTTACTGATATATATTTCTAATAAGCTGGCTAGTTATGGTTGATTGAAAATACATGTAAACACATCTACATGTGCAGAAATAGATGGACATTTCAAAATTATGAGCATCAACTTTTTTTTAAACAAATTAGAGAAACGACATGTTTTCCATTTCTTCCTAATCGTAAAACAGTTATTTAGAGAGTGGAAGTGATCAAATTTTTATTTTTTCATTTTTTAACCCAACACAAGCAAGAAGTAGTTAGTTAAAAAAAAAAATGAATATTAAATAAACTTCAAATTGAAACACTTTAAAAATAATTGAGTTTACAAATGTATATTGTATACATTTATGTATATTGTATATCATACAAATGTATATTGTGTACTCATCTCCCTCCTTTTTAGTTCTTATATCGATGACATCCATAATTCAATCCTTCACTGCTCCCATCACCTTTACGCCGATGACTCCCAAATCTACCTTTCCTTCCATCCCTCAGAGTTGCATGAAGCGTTTGCCAAAATTCAAGAAGACTTGAATCGGATCAGTGCCTGGGCAAACTTAAATGGGTTAAGGTTAAACACTGCAAAAACTCAAGCCATTGTCATTGGTTCCAAACCCCTTCTCAGAGCCAATACCAACATACCTATACTGTACCTAAATGACCATCCCATTACCTTCACCTCCTCAGTAAAAAACCTAGTAATTTTCATAGACCAAACCCTATCCTGGAAACACCATATTGCTCACATTACCCGACAGTCAATTGGTACCTTGAAACTATTCCATCGCTTCCGCCATCTCCACACGTAGACTCCTAGTAACTTCCCTCATCTTCCCCCACCTTGATTACGGCTGCGTGGTGTACGGTGGCCTCTCGGCAGAACTCGGGGAGAGACTGATAAGAATTATGATTGCCTTCGTAAGATTTGTCACAGGGGCCCTGAGGTATTCCCGTGTTTCGCACCACTATGCTGAATTAGGATGGCTCTTCCCTTCCTTCCGAAGACAATATTTCCTAGGCACATTCCTTTACCAAATAATCAATAGTCATCAGCCGTCCTACGCATACAATCTCCTACAATTCAAATCATCTATCCACACCCTCTCCACAAAATCTCGTCCTTCTGACCTTTACACTCCTTTCCACAGATCTGCATCATTTAAACATTCCTCCGTTGTCCGTTCCACTGCATTCTGGAATTCCATCCCACTAAAAATCCGCCATGCATCATCCTTATCCACCTTTAAAACCCTCTTATTCCAATTCCTCTTCACAATCCAATCAGACGCTGGTTAAATACATACTATGTTATAAGGATTTAATTTTCTTTAGACATTATTTTTTTTCTCTTTTTTTTATTGTTTTATTCTGTGTTGAACGTGAATTTTCATCACCACTCACTAAGCATTGTGAGTAGATAAAATTTGTTTTTCTTAAGTTCTAATTTGTTATTCATGGAATGTATTTCAGTGAAATATATTTTATTTCTAATTATCTTCAACATACTTCTCGCTATGTGTATATATATACTTTATTTTATTTTCTCTTCTCCTAATCTTTACGCATAATCACTTAAATATCTTAGAGAACATATGTATATCATTATTTGTTTTTTTATATATTTTTTTGTTTTAGTTTTTACAATTTCTTTCCCTACATATTAACAGATATTATTATTTTTTTTAATTTTTATATTCCATCACTACAATGGTTCACCTATAAAATAGATTTTACTTTCCTTTCTAATTTCATTCAGTGATTATTATGCAATTATTTTAGCTCCAATATTGTAGTACTGAACCCCTATTACCCAACTGTCCTCGTTAATTTATCCTAAGAGCTTAATTAATACTTAATGTATTACATGTATTTTGTCATTATTCATTGTAATAAGTCTTTTGACCAGATTTGTAGTTAATATATATGAACAATACTGTTATTCTAAAGGGACCTAGTCCCAGAATAAAGATGATTTTTCTATTTTTTCTATTTCTATATTCATAGGTATCACATTTTTCGCTCTTTAAAAATACTAATGTTATAGGGAGTGGGGTAGCTTAGTGGTAGGGTACTTTTTTTTTTCTTGGTCCTCCCCTTCCTCGCCATTAAGGCTATACGGGGTTTACCCGGGCCAGGGAGTGTGGGTGGGGATTTAAAAGACTCCCTCGGCACCGGGACGCGAACTCGTGACTATTTTATATTATTTGATTGATATAGCAGGTTGCCGGGCAACGGCGGTGCTGTGCACACGCCTTAGCCCATTTAGTGGTAGGGTACTGAGCTTCCAATGCTAAACTCTCAGGTTCAAACCCTGGCTCATGGCAGAAAATTTATTTATCTGTTTCATTGGCCGTGGGGCGACCCTGGGTCGGTAGACCCTCCTGGGGCACACCCAGCCTCTATAAAGTGGGTACCCTTAATTAAATAATTAATTAAGGGGGAAAACCTGGCGGTTGAGCGTGATCTTTGTCATGTTTACCTATAAAACATTCCTTATATTATCATTAAATTATTGTGTAATGCGACAATAAATACTGAGTAGCACCCTCTAAAAAATTTATTTTTAACAAGTTTTAGTATAATTACGACGTAGGAAATGTTTTTTTCGATAAATATGGCATAGAGAATGGAGTGTTAAAGAATTTTTAAGCAAGAATAATCTAAAAATCATACAATTTTTGGACAATATTGTATTAAATTCTGTCTTGGATCAAGAATTGAAGGAGATTATAGCTGAACTTTATTTGTAGAGCAAAAAAGTAGGACTGGATATAAATTTCTCAAAAACTAAATTGCTCACCTACGAAAGGCAAGAAGATATAGTAATACAAGGAAACAAGATAGAGTGAGTAGGAGATGCTATATATCTTGGCCAGTTAATCTCCTTTAACAGAAAGACCGAGAAAGAAATAGATTGGAGAATATCAATAGCATGGAAAAAATATTGGCCCTTAAAATTTATATTGAAAAGAAATTTCCCTGTACACTTAAAGGGCAAATTTCTTGACATATGTGTTATGCCAAGTCTCATAAACTTAGCTCAAACATGGACCCTAACAAAAAAGTACATAAATAGACTTCAAGTTGTTCAGAGAAGAAGGAAGACTAGGACCACAGAAAGAATGAAGCAGATGAAGAGCCACCATTCGAAGATGAGATCCTCACTGCCATTAACCAATTGAAATGCAACAAGGCTCTGGTTGTTGATGGACTCCCCTTAGAACTCAACAGGTGCGGTGGGAACGAGCTGATGAAAGATATGCAGGATCTCTTCATCACAGTATGGACGGATAAAGGTCTAGGCAGCAAATTAATGTTATTTTTCTTTTGCAAGACAGTTCCGGAGTAGAGCTCTCTCCAAAAGGGCAAAGTTATGTCTTTGTAAGACGATAGTGCCCCCAGTCTTGCTGTATGGTTGTGAGACTTGAACTACTTCCCGGGCTTGTGAACAGGAGCTCCTAGTCTTTGAAAGAGAAATTTTCAGATGCATCTATGGTGGTATTCTCTTCGGAGGAGATTGGAAAAGAATAAAAAGCCAGGGGCTGTACACAATGTTTAAGAAGCCCAATACAGTACAAGTGATGAAGATTGCAAGACTGAGATAGGCAAGACACGTCGTCAGGGTGGGCAGTGAGAATCCACCAAGATAACTGCTGATGGAGCCACTCTATGGTACCAGAAGAAGAGGAAGACCAAAGCTGCGATGGGTTGCTGCTAATGCAACAAATGTGCTGAGGCTTTGAAATTTAATGTCAGCTGCTAGGGATAATTAGTGGAAGCTGCTAGAAGAGGCCAGGATTCGACACCGGATTGCAGAGCCACTATAATAATCATAATATGTACTTTTTTATTGTATAATTATGTAAATTTACTCAAATATTTTTAAATAACAGAAATAATTTTTATGTTTTATTATGGTTGTTCTTTATTTTTTTATCAAGAGATTTTGCCAACCTATTGTATTTTATTTTTCTTTACCATTTATGTAAATATTTTAGTTAACCTAATATTTTTTTCTTTTCATTTTTCCATTATCTTTTAGTCTTTTGGCCAGAATACATTTTATTTCTTTGTAACTGCTGTTATTCTCAAGGTACATTGCCCCAGAATAAAGTTATTTTTAATTTTTATTAGAAAGTAGCAAGGCTGGAAACAAATGGATTTGGATAGGAGTGGAATTTATCATGAAATGATAGATATCTGGCTCGGACTCAATCAGCGACATATGGAATATTAAGGTCTTTATCAATGGTTTTATTTGTGACAAAATATGGGGCAGTAAGGATTTTGGATTGTAAGGATTGGATATGATAAGAATTTGATGGTTTGGTGGAGCCCTGAAGCTCAACTCCATATGTCCATATAGGTCTTATTATAATGAAAAGAAGAATAGTTGGGGTGATCAGTCAAATAAGAAGGCAAAAAAAAATGATAATATTTATTTTGACATTTGGCAAATGTCAAAATAAATATCATTTATTTTTGCCTTCTTATTTGACTGATCACCCCAACTATTCTTCTCTTCATTATTAACGACAGTCAACCATTTACCCACAATTATAGGTCTTATTATAGTCATGATAATATTTATTTTTGCCTTCTTATTTGACTGATCACCCCAACTATTCTTCTCTTCATTATTAATGACAGTCAACCATTTACCCACAATTATAGGTCTTATTATAGTCATGATAATATTTATTTTTGCCTTCTTATTTGACTGATCACCCCAACTATTTTTCTCTTCATTATTAACGACAGTCAACCATTTACCCACAATTATAGGTCTTATAGTCATATGGATGAGTTTCATAATCAATTGAAAGTTTAGAGCGTTCATTTAGTAAGTGTTGGAGCAGTTGGAAACTTCGAACAGTCTTGTCGCTTCATCTAGTATGCGAGTTCCAAGCAAGACGTTTGTCCAAGTGGATAAGTCCTAGGTAGCGGATTTGTTCAACAGGAATAAGTGGCGTTTTATTGAAGAATACTGTAAGACAAGAAGTCATAGGTTTATGATGAAAGGTAAAGGTTATTTGATGGGATTTATTGGAATTTATTTTTATTCTCCAATTTGGACACCATTCTTCAAGGCTTGTGATATGTGATTGGAGGGTTTGGGATGCAATTAAATGGTCATTATTAACAGTTAACAAACATCCATCTTCAGCGTATGTGGTGATGACAATGTTGGGCTGGGTTGGGATGTCAGCTGCATAAACTGTGTAGAGGATGGGACCAAGGATACTGCCTTGAGGAACGCCTGCAGGCTGACCAAAGATTTTTGAATTATGGAATGTTAAATTAAATAACCAACCAAAAAAAACAACAAAGAATTTCAATATTAGAACAGTTGTCAGAGATTCACTGAGCTTTATAGAGTTTGTACAACTGCTATGATTTTATCAATAAAGAGTAAAGAATGAAATGGATAACAAAATAGTTAAATTTAAACAATATGGTAACATTATTCAGAGGACAAAGAAATATAAGTTTACAATTAAGCAGATAAAACACTTTTAGATTGAAACATCGGGACTCTTTCTCGATGTTAAGCAGACATTTGATAAAGTCTGGCACCCTGGACTGATATACAAACTCCTTAAATTCCTACCACCTACATACTTCCTCATTATCTGGCCCTACCTTACTGATAGATACTTTTAAGTAAATCACAACAATACCTATTCATCCCTTTTCTTCCAGTCTGTTGGTGTTCCTCAAAGTAGTATCCTTGGTCCTATCCCTTACACAGTTTATATATCCCACATCCCAACGCTATCATCACCATGTATGCTGATGACACATGTATCCTATCAGTTAATAAGGATCCATAAATTGCATCCACATATCACAAATCATGAAGAATGGTGTCAAAACTGGAGAATTATAATAGATCCCATCAAATTATCTTTATTCTTTGTAGTAAACCTATGACTTCCTGTCCTACAGTATCCTATAACAATTCCCCAATTATCTCTGTTTAACAAATCCGATACCTAGGACTCCATCTGGACAAATGACTCACATGGAATCCTGAAGTCACTTGAAAGGACAAGAAACTGTTTGACGTTTTCAACTACTCCAGCACTTACTAGACAGACGCTAAACTTCCGATACATTACAAAAGACTCATATACATGACTATAATAAGGCCTATTTGGATTTACGGAATTGAGGTTTACTATCTAAAGCTTTACTTTAACTGAACTATCGAATCCCTCTTGTATCCAATCCTTACAATCCAAAATCCTTCATAAAATTCTTAATGCTCCTTACTTCGTCACAAATAAAATCATCCATAACGACCTTAACGTACCATATGTTTCCGATTTAGATACCAATCCAGATACCTATCCTTCAATAGCAAACTGCAGAACCATCCGAACCCTCTCGTTTCAAACCTTGCTTCCTCCTCGATCCCTGATAACCCTCCGAGGCGTCTGAAAAGAAGGTGGCCTCGTGATCTTCTTGTGTAAATTTATTATTTGAGTGCTATCAGTGGGTAGTTTCTCAACAAGAGATTTCATGTTATTATATTCCTGAGTGCACATTTACTAGTTGTATTTTTTTTACAATACAGTTGTAAGTCTCAATGAATAAAAACAAAAAAATTAATTTGGTAAACTTTTTCGTTTTTTATTTAAACAGTGATGCAATATTCATGCATTAAAATGTATTATTTAATAATTTAATGTTATCTATGAATTACAATTTAGTTTTCTAAATTGCCCTTTTGAGACAGAATTTTAATTTTACATAATTGTTTTATATATTAATTTTATTTTATTTTTCATGGAATTAATACTGATATGACCCGTCATTTTGCAAAATCAGTTTGGAATCAAACAGGTTTGAAATGTTTTAGGCTTCCGCGTCCAATGTAGCCACATCCTTTCTAGATTGTATTTAATATAAATCATGAAAGCAAGTAAATTAGTGAATTAATATTTTAATTAATTTGGTCCATCGAATTCCTCTCGTATCCAATCCTTACAATCCAAAATCCTCAACACTCCTTACTTTGTCACAAATGAAATCATCCCTAAAGACCTTAATGTTTCATATGTTTCCAATTTGGCCCAATCCAGATACCTATCCTTCCATAACAAACTGCAGAACCATCCGAATCCTCTCATTTCAAACCTTGCTTCCCCTTCGATACCTGATAACTCTTCAAGGTCTCTGAAAAGAAGACGGCCTCGTGATCTACTTATGAAAATACATTATTAGAGTGCTACCAATGGATTTCTCAACAAGTGTTTTCATATGATTATATTATTCCTGTGTACACATTTACTTATTTTACAGTTATAAATAACATAAATAAACAATTTTTAAAAAAATTTAAGCATATATTTTTATAAAAAATTGGTTGATTTGAAGACTTTTTCACACCATTGTACACATACACACACACACACGCATGCATACATACATACCTACATTTATTTATATACTGCAGTATAAACTTCATGCTTATAGCTTAAGAAACATGTGTGAGTTGTATGATTTACATCTTGTTGAGTACATTTTGTATGCCATAAACAAGAGACTAATTGGTATGTAATTATAGCAATGAATTTCTAATCTTTCAGGATTGTTTTGATGTCAACCTTAACTTCTTTATTGTGGACTTAAAAGCTCATTAAACAAGTTCTGTAAAATTGGGAAATCAATAGCCCAGTAGAAGGCTATAAAAAATACAATCCTAACTTATCAATGATTTTATGAAAAACAGACTTTAGCTATTAAAAGCCCCCTTAAAATGATTTTAACAAAGACAAATTATTCTTCCATTTGAAGATTGGTGTGTCTAGTTTACTTTGTTGAAATTGATTATTACTTAAATTAAGTATTGTTTTAGTTATCTCTTCCTATCAACAAAAAAATTGAAGCTTGAAACAACCCAAAACATTTCCTTTGCCTGGCTTGTGTGCATGTTTCATATGCCATAAAAATGTGCATAGTTGCATGTGCCATAAAAATGTATACCTGTGCTAAAAAAAATAAATAAAAACACCCTCTAAGCATGCCTTGATTGGATCAGTTACTGTACTGTTAAAAAGAAACTTGAAAAAAGAAATTAACACTCTGTGTAGTCTAATTACTGTATAGAAGCCTTCACTTTGTATTTAATTATTTGATAGTCTAATTGTAGCTTTAGTTGAAAACATTGAAATATGTTGGCTAAAAGGAATCTTTTTAGAGTAAATAGCCTAAGCTGTATTGTGTTAATATTTATTTTCATTTTATCTAACTTTTTATAAAAATGTTGATATTTTCTGTTTTCTTTTTTTTTTAGTATGATCATTCAGAGTTTCCTGGTGTTGTTCCAAGAACTTTTGTTGGGCCTTTGGCAGTAACCTTTATACTTTCACCAGTTACAACTTTATTCGAAATGGCTAACATTTTTTCAACCAATAAGTTTGTTTTTCAATACTTGGGTAAATTTTATGATATAATTTAAATTTTCAGATTTTTTTTGTATGTTTTATTTCTAAGAATTATATTAACCTGCCATTAATAATAATAATAATTTTATATTATATAATTCTCATAACAAAGATAATTGTAATGTCAGTTAACTCTTAGAATCATAAATACATGATGTCATTAATGTCTGTAGATAATTATAATTTTATGTTTGTTAATATCTCTTAAAAAAGTAGAAATTATAAAATGAACTATAAATACTCGACTAATTTATTATTCAACAACAATACTATTTATCAAAAATGTATTTGTAGATCTTCCTTCATATCTATATCTTTAATAAAAAATTAAGAAAGCCACTGTTTAGGCAACTTTCTAAATTAAATTAAAATAAAGGCAAATAATTAATGAGTTCAACATAGGCAACATTCGACTTATTTTGGCAGTGGGCTGTATTTTGATGAAGTGGTAGGTTATATGAATTGTGTAAAATAAACTCGCCCTTTTATGCTGCCATAGACATCTTACTTGACTGAGAGGGCCCTCCAGTCTGCTATAGTTGATGCCTTTGGGAATCTCTACCTTGGAATGGCTCAGAGAGTCACGTAGCTCTTATCTGATCTGTTTTCACTATTCACCATAACACGACAATCGGATATAATAGCTCTCACACAAAACATATCCCCCACCGTGAAATATCTCATTTCACAAAAGGAAAAAAAAAAAAAAAAAAAAAAAAAAAAAAAAAAAAAAAAAAAAAAAAAAAAAAACCAAACTCATAGATTGGTAATTACCAGGAAAGGCACAAATGAGAGCAAAATTGCTTGGTTTACAATAAAGAAATAGAGAAATTATTCAAAATATATTTTTGAAAAATTTGAAATAAAGTGAGCCAAATCAAGATAGGCTAATAAATTACAATTCATTAAAAATAAAATAGCCCCTCATTAAATTTAAGCAAAGAAAAAATATACATATCAATAAAAAAAGGTTTCTCCAGAAGGGAGGGGCACTAACTTGTTCACCGGTCGCACCAAAGTGGCTGTAGCAGTCCTTAATTTTACCACCCTAACTACACTTTCAGGCCCTGTAAGTGTCTCTATTATCCTGGCAAATCATCACTCCTGCAGTGGAACATCTTTTTCATGTAGAATAACAAGGGTTCCCTCTTTTAAATTTTCCCTGTCAGTATACCACTTGTTGTGAGGCACCAGATTCTGGAGGTGCTCTGATACCATCTCTTCCAAAAATTATAAAGAGTCTTGGAAATCATCTCCCAACGGCTTGTCAATGGAAACACAGGTGTGTCTTCTTGTTCTGGTCTAGCTAGTAGGGGCTGACCTACAAGAAAGTGCCCTGGGATGAGGTAATCCAGATTATCTGAAGGCTGACTGCTATTATTACAGATAGGATGGGGATTGAGAATGATAAAAAAATATATTAACCTCTATATATATATATTTAATAAACATTAATATATGTTAAACATTTAAAGTTGAATCGGAAATCATAGACGTAATTGTTCCAACAATCTTACTAAATGTAGTCACTCTAGGCGTTTGTTTTTTGAACGTATAGTACTGAGCTCGTCCACCATCTGATCGTATGACTTACGGATCCAATGTAGCCACAGCCTAAGGTGTCTGAACTGTGCTCTCAGATGGTATTACTAGACTCCAGCTTCTTTAGTGGCTTATTTCCAACTGAATTCTTGGCCGTCTCCAAGCGACTATTCAAATATATTCCCGTTTAATTTATGTGTGTATATATATAATTTTTTGTTAGTGTGTATATGTATTATTCATTACTTACATACGTATATCTAACATACATACATATACAGTGCAAACTCAAAAATCTGAATTAAGTGATGTTAGGGAGTGTTCGGATTATGGAGAGCCTTTAAGAAAACTCCTTACAATAAAAGTTTAAAACTCAATTAATTTGTACAACATTGCTATTAGTCCAGCAACCTTGTTTATTGTAAGTTACATTAATTGGTGGTAGAAAGTTCCTTTTTTTTTCTTGTATGGGGTGTGACCGAGATGCAAATTTCAAATGTTTGACCTCGGGGGAGGGGGGGGGGGCTCTCTGATCACTTTTAAATATCTCCAAAACTGCTACATTTTCGTTCTTTTTCAGTTTTTCCTCATTTTGACCATGAATAAGCATGTTTTTGAATAAAAACTTTTTATACATTTTTAAACTAGATTAAATATACTACTATTTGAGACTAGAATAGGCTTGGTAAATTTAATAGGTTTCGATCTACAGCTTTTTTAAATTTGTCATATTTTTCATACTTTAAGTGTAAGGATGTATAATTTCCATGTTTTATCATATGCAATTGTCTTTACCTCTTCAATAACCCATCTAATACGAGTCAGTGAAATAAACATTTATTCACTTTAACATTCTGAAGGGGGAGAGGAGGAGGGGGAAGGTTTGTTGGGAGAGTGGGAGTTCACTGTTCTCAACCAGATGACCGAAATTGAAATACAAAACTTATTAAATAAACATTTACATCAAGTGTATATAAAAAGTGTAAATAAAGTGAATGAAAGTGTAAACAAAATGAAATTAAAGGTGTTTCCTCTGATTAGAAGGACCAGGACCTAGGAAATCTCTGAATCCACCTCCTTCATGGCATCAATTAATGCTATTTTATATATTATAATATAATATATAAGAAGAGGTTTTAATGTTTGACTAATTAAGTTATGTTGACAGGAGAAATTCAGTCCATATGATTTAAAATAGGTTTATTTGTTAAATAAATTTTGTATTTCAGTTGTCTGGTTGTGAACAGAACTCCTGTCCCAACAAACCTTCCTCCTCCTATACCCCTCCCCCCAATGAAAATGTTAAATCGTAAAGATGTATCTTTCACTAACTTGTATTTTACAGGTTATTAAAGATATAACAACAATTGTGTATGATAAAACTTGAAAATTATTATAGCTTACACTTTTCAAGTTTGAAAAATTTGACAAATTTTGAAAAGCTGTAGTTCGAAACCTATTAGGTTTACTAAACCTTTTCTAGTCTCAAATAGTAGTAAATTTAATCTAGTTTAAAAATAAACTGGTGGTAAAAAAATCGGCGCACCTTGAATTTTACATAAAAATGTCATATTAAAGAAATATTTTTGAGCCCGAAGTAATAAGCAATAACAGGTATATGGCAAGTCAAAGGGGATCATTATACATTGATCCTTTTGAGAAAATTTCATGATTCTCTCTATAATTAACGATACAAGTATTAAAGTAAAATGTGGACCTTATATCAGTTTGTCTCCAGTTGCCTGTTCAACCGCATTTCTGTTTTTTTTTTTCTTTAAAAACAATATTTCATTTGTTTGAGAGTGTGAAATGGTATTGGATTTCATTGCTATGCAGGTTGAGTTAACAAGCCTTCTCATTACTGCATGCTTGCTGACATCTGCACCCTGAGCAACATGCAATCAATGATAAGTCTCAATTGAAATCTGATTGCGGATTATTGCTATTTTTTATCCGTTGTGAAAGAAATAACAACAAAATTTAAAGTGCTCCAGTTTTTATGTCCTACAATATATTTAGAATATTATTTGTCGTAAATGTGCACCTTGATCAAAATGTAGAAAAAACAAAAAAGTGGGAAAATTTAGCAGTTTTGGAGATATTCAAAAATGATCCAGAGGGGGAGGAGAGTGGCTGTCGAGGTTAAAAATTTGGATTTTGCATCTCAGTCACATACCATACAAGAAAAAAAATCTGGTGCGTGCATCACATGACTTTCACTTAGCACTCTCTTCTTAACAGAAATAAGTATTTTCAGACAAAGGGAAAGTGAAAGTAAAAATTATTGATGCTATATTTATTTATATTTCATTGTGGGGATTTTTATTTGTTTAATTACCCTTATATATATACAAATTTTAATTTTTATATCACTGTAATATATACAATTAAGTATTAAATAATACCAACAATAGAATTTATGAAAACTGCATATCTATATGTACATAATATTGTCAGAGTCTGTATTATATTAAGCTCATGTTAATAGAAGCATGTTCTAACTGCTCGGGCACTCGTATTCCTTTGGTTCCTCCATTATAACTATAATCCGTTACGATTTCTTATTTCTCCTTTAGTTAATAATCAAATTCTTTCATATTTTATATTAAGCTATTTTTTATATCAAAGGTTGATGTGAAATGGTTAATTATTTCAAATAAAAAAAATTAATCTTTGAGCTAGTTTAGAGGAAGCTAATATTGAAAATTAGCCATTTAAACCCTGTTGGAGAACATCAACGAGAATAAAACCTACATTATATTAAAAACGGCTTAATAATACACTGATGTACTGAGTTTAATCAAAATTGTTAGAACTGTTTTTGAAAAAATCATTTGAACACTTTTTGAGAAAATTTTTTGAACCATTTTTGAGAAAATTATTTAAACTGTTTTTGAGAAAATCGTAAAATTGTGTTAAATCGATAATATAAAACACTACTTCTGGTTTGCTGATTTTGATGAAAATGTTGCTGTAACATACCAGGCTTATAAAAACCTCAAACACGCAATTTCAGTTTTGTACGATTTTTTGTTTTTGAGCTAGCCTGTTCATATACATACACACTCACATACACACTGACCATTTTGTGGGACTTGGTTATTTGGACTCAGGGGACCTCAAAATGTGTATTTCCATTAATTCAAAAAACAGATTAAAAAATGTTCACAATCGCAATACTTATCCTTACTATATATTACATATATAGGTTAGTGAAAGTAAAAAAGAAACCTTCTGCCACCACTTGATGCAACTTTGACCCCTCTTTTTATGACGAGATTACTGCACTATATTATCTGTATACCTACAAGTATGCTTACTTGAAAACATTGAATTTGTATTTATAAAAATTAAGTTGTTTTCGTTTGTTTTGAATTTTGGAGGTCCTTTCTCATTGGTTCTTCTGTTAGATGTTGTAGGAGAAACATTTGTTGCTACGGCATATTGTT